GCACTCAGAGCTGAATATGACCTGCTGTGATGCCAATGAAATCAACTCAGATATATTGGCAAAATTACATGAGAAAGAATCTCTTCCACTACTTTGAGGAGTAAAAAGAAGAAATATGGATGAAACATGGAAGACTAGCTCTGATGGGCTCTCTTTCTACACTTCTTCATAGGCAAATCCGTGACACTGTACACTGGATGTTCAGTGAACCAATGCTTGTTTACTACATTGGTGTGTTTCGAGATGCTTTTTGGCCAAACGGAAAGTTAGCTCCACCACCAAGAGCCAAGAGTGATGAACAAAAGCAGGAGACAAAACAGAGAGCACAGCAAAAACTACTTGAAAACATTCCAGGTGAGATCACTTCGATTCTGCTTAAGCAAAGATTTAATAACTAGTAAGAAAACTGGTTAATCAAATTATTTTCCTGTAGAGTTCTAAATTATGGTTATTTGCATAAATAAGGATGATTTTGGTCTTAGTCTTTGCCTTTCCTGCCTGACTGGTAAAAGGCTTTGATTCAGATATTATTGGTGGATGCAAAATCAAAATTGCTGTATTTCTGTGCATAATATTCAAGGAACCTCAGTCAGTTCTCTCTGTTGGTTCTCTGTGAGCAAGTATGTGGCTCTGCTACTTGGAATTACTTGCCAAATAGGGAGAGTGGCACCACCCCAATTACTTCTTCCTCTTACATTTCAGAGTTGGAGAGAGAGGATTGTCCCATGCTGTCAGTGTTGTGCTGTCTATTTCTGATAAGAGGTCTCAGGGCACTGAGACCTGCAGGCTGGGCAGGAGAAGATCCTAGATGGGAGTGGTTTCCTCAATACTTTCCTTTCCTATCCTTATCTGCCAAGCCTGAGCAGCTGCCTTTTCAGACAGCATGCTTCTGGGGCACTGTTCTGAGATGCTCCATCCTGTCCCACAGACAGAACAGGAAATCTTGTTATGTATTTCTGACTTCCCAGAGATCACATAAACCCAAAGGCACCTAACTGAAAAGAATCAAAATCATTACTTTTTGCACTTGGAAATGCACTTAAACATAGCTTGAATGCTTTTTCTCTGCTCCATCTGAAGAGAATGAGCTATTTTATGGCTTCACTTAGATATGTCATATACCCCATGCATTAGGTACTTTAATCAACTTTTACTGGAAAAAAGGAGTAGGTATGCATGTAAAATACTTGTCATTTGATGTGTAAACAACTCTCCATTTACTGCCTGTGTTACATACTCATGTATTCACCTAAAGAGCCTTCTGTAGTTTTATATGTTTATGGTATTGTTTGATTTGGTTTGTTTGTTTCTGAGCTATGTTAGGACATAGCTGAATGCACCTTAGATGAATGATGGAACACTGAATCACTATTTATTCTCTAATTTAACACAAAATGTGAATAATTGATTTAGAGTTCTCTTAACTGCCTTCTTATGGGAAGTACCCTCTGTGAAGACTGAGAGGCAATTCTAGTTCTAAATTTGTTTTAAATATTGTAGAAATTGTCTTTGTGGCTGAAGGCATATTAAAGTGAATGGTTTAATGACATGTGAGATAAGACTTGACTCAGTGAGGTGAACTACTGAAAAGACATTTGATATCTCATGTTAGAACACTTAAAATTTCTAAGATGTACACACAATTATCTATTGAGTAACTTGTGAATAAGGGTTTCTCTTCAAGCAGTTTTTTTTAAAACACAGTGTTAGGGACTGTGGGTATCTTGTAGCCACAGGGTAATGAAGTGCAGTGCCTTTGTTTCCCCTCCTTTGTTTACTGGTCTTTATGGTTGAACTAGATGATCTTGAAGGTCTCTTCCAACCTTGAAGATTATGATTTTGGGTAGTAGAATGATGATTCTGTGATTCTGGCCAGAGGTTCTGCCTAGCATGAGTGAAACAATATAAACTGAAGTAATGATTTTGGGTAGTAGAATGATGATTCTGTGATTCTGGCCAGAGGTTCTGCCTAGCATGAGTGAAACAATATAAACTGAAGTAATGTTTGTTGCAGATACTCTGCAGAATCTTGTTGGACAACAAAATGCCCGTCATGGTGTAGTGAAAGTGTTCAATGCATTGCAAGAGAGGAAGGCTAATAAGCATCTGCTTTATGTGAGTAACCAGAAAAGTAGCTTTTTAACTTCATAATCCAGTTGCTTACCGAGCTCTACTTACTCAGTATTAAAGCCTAGGGGATGTGTTTTTGTAGAGATTTATTTATTATTTTAATAAGTCAGATGCTCTAGGTTTGATCACTTGACTAAGTTTGGATAACAAAAAATTGTTTAACAGCAGCATTGTTTTTGTCTAAAAGAGATCCTCTACCACATCCAATGTGCCTGACTTCCTTCATAAGATGTAAACTAATTTCTTCATACAGCTTAGAAAATACCTTAGAGAAGGAGAGCTTCCAGGACTGGCTTATAGTTAGGACATGATAGCCCTCTGAAAGTTCCACTCAGCTGTTGGGACTAGTTGGAATATGCAGCTGGATCTGAGTGCTTCTGGCATATTCCAGACAGCAGCCTGTCACACAATGCTGCCCCAGCACCAGAGAAAATGTGCATGCCCTGGTGCTTGCTTTTGATGCTATGGAGTCTTTAACAGAACAGCACCTGTTTATACTGGGTGGGAAATCCCCATCTGAACAGAGCTGCCCTTAACACTTGACTCCTTAAGACTTTTCCCATGGTATCTGTAGGGCATGTGCTAACTTCTGGATGAAAGAAAAGTAGTTGCATGTAATCAAACCTATGTGCCTAGGTTATTTGTGATTATCTAAAAATGACAGAAAGGAAGAAGAAATTCTTATTTGGTCAGCACCTGCATCATCTTAACTCTTTTCTGCTTTTCAGGTTTTGCTGGAACTGCTGCTAACTGAACTGTGTCCTGAGCTGAGAGCTCATTTAGAGCAGCTTAATGCCACTTAGGTTTGAATCTGCACAATTGGACCACTAGAGAAATGTCTATGTTCAAGAATAGACATGAAACTTATTTTCCTCTTTTCCATAGAGGGCTGAGGACTATGATTATTTTTAGCATTTTTCTTTCCTCTTGAGTTTTTTGTGAAGTAAACAGACTTGAAAAGATCTGATGCTGTCGTAGAGTAGACAAAAAAAAAATGCTGTATAGCTGCCAATTTTTATTTAAATTGTTATATTTCACTACTCCTCTGTTTCAAATATAGATTGAAAAATAAATGTTCATATATGCTGAAAGAAACCAGAAGATATTTTAAACATTTATGGAAAGAAATTTTGCTTATAGTGGTAAACTAATGAATGTTGTACAGTTCTAATCTCCTCACTGAGGATCTGAGCATTCCTTTTCTTTTCTTGTGTATTGAGGAAGCCTTGTCGTGCAATACTACATGTAAAGCTATTGTGAAAATTTTATCAATTTTGGTTTTACCAAAGATTTCCTGTAGTTTGAAGCATTTTGAAGCATTTGTAAGCAATAAATATCACAACTGGATCGCAGCACTTGATAATGAGGCTGTACTGACAACAGATCAATGAGTTTGACCACACTAGTTTCATAAGAAATATATACATTGCTTTGAAGTCTCTGTCAAAATTATGTATTGTAAACTGGTATGTCCTAACAGAATGCCTGTGTCAAATGTTAGTTCAGAGATTAGTGCTTATGAACTGCTTCTATGAATGATCAAGTAGACATTTAATTAAACCATTCTGGTAACTTCCCTGATATTATTCAGGGCTGTTTTATTCAAATGCCCCAATTTCAAATAACCTTTAAATCCTTCCCTTATTTTATACAAGGAAAGAAAACTGTCTTCAGTGGTTGTTTTTTTTTTTAATTTCTGTAAAAATATGTAAATATGATGTTAATGCACATCTAAATAATTAAACATCAGCAAAAATCCGTAGCTGACACTCATTACTTTCTTCTCAATTTGGTACAGTTGTGCTCTTAGAAAAACTACTTGCAGTTATGACTGGCTGTATTGTAAGGTACATACAGTCTGTATGATCTATTTGAATCAACATTTTTAGTAACATCTAGCCTTCTCTTCCAACAGTTTCAGAAAAGTTTTCAAGTCATGGCACAGTCCTAAGATGCAAGGCAAATTCTGCATTTATAAAGTTTCACAAGTAAACAGGCATTTAGATATGTGCAAGCTTACCATAGCAATCAGTAAGCTTTCCTAGTGGTTAATCAAAGTATCTTTTGATGAAAGATCCAGCTTGACATTGTTCAAACATACAAACTCCTAACCAAAAGATTTCCAACTATTTCTAATACAGAGGCAGTGTGAATGCAATATGAGGGACTGAGGAAAACAGGCCTTGTCCTGTGACATATACTGAATATTTCCATACTAATGTTTGGGGTTCCTTTTTCCACAGTTCTCTAAGTAGTATTTATTAGTTTTAGAAGCTGGTATGGTTTGAATTGTAAAGCTTGGTGTTCTGCTGGACAGTTTCCAACTCTAAGTCTCTGCGATCCAAAAGTAAAATGTATAAAGAATCTTAAGTAAATCTAGATGCTTTAGAAAGTATGGGCAAGAAAGTATAAACACCACTAACAAGTTAAGCTTTAAAAATGGTTGTGGCCTGTGAGTGGGCTGTATGTGAAAATGAAACAAGTTTGGGTTCAAGCTTTTCAGAATATTAAATTTAAATAATATATATGCAAAAAGGAAACAACAATCTTTATTTGGTTTGGTTTTGATTCATGTGCTATGTAGCAATATGACATGAAAAAAATACAGCTGTCCCAGTGAAATGTCCTTAATAAACCTTTCAATCTTCAATACGATTTTTAAAAAATCTGTCTTGGCTTCATCTGAGTTAGAGAGTGTGAGCTTTTTACTTTCTCTTTATTTTAGACAAACTGAGTCAGTGAATTGCTTTAAATAATGATTTACAGAAAGTTGAAAAGCAAGCTGTAAGTCATGAACAGTCTATAATTTCTGGAGATTAATGATGGTTTATTGTAGGAAATATATTTATATACCAGTCAGTTAAAAGAAACACTAAATTCTCCCAAGATTAGCTGCCGATTCAAGGTGAGAAGCAACAGCAGGATCCAGATGGCATGCCTTTTAAAAACAAAGAGTATCAGAGTTCTGGTTTATAGCTACAATAAAATTGTATGGTATCAATATGAGATTAATAAGTCTTTAAGTGTAAAAAAATCTGAGGTGTTCAACTTGCTGAAGTATTGAAAAGTTAACATATTTGCATTTGAATCCTTTTTCTGATGCCACATAATAAAAAAAAAAGTATTTAAAAGTAGCATACTGGACTATAGTGTTAATCCTGAGTTTATTTTTTTTTAATTCTATGTGTTGGCATGGCATATGCACCACAGCTGGAAAAATAAATCTGCTTACAGACTGGATGAGTTTCACTCACAGCCATAATCTATTTCAGAACCCTAAGGGATGCCCATATTGTCTCATCTCTTACAATACTGACTTGTTCTCAGAATGGTAGGCCAAAACCAGAGCTGAGCAGTCAATTAAAACAAGTAAAACTTTAAGTAAGTGTAATTGTACAGTTAACATGAGAATTTTCCAGGTACCAAAAAACCCCTGGATACCCCCACAACTCTTTTAAAGTTACTTTTTGAGGGAGCTTCCTTGTTTATTTTGTTGCTTCTCTTTTGCTATTGATTTAGAGACACGTGACCCCAGTCATAGGAACTATCTCTTTATAGTGAGACATTAGTGACATTCCTAGACCAGTCTCAGGTGTACAGCAAGTGAATAATGAGTGAAAGTTGTAGTCTTCTTTCAGGTATGTCGTACTGTTCTTTCAGTTTTGCTACACTTTAAAAGACAGTGGGAAGAAAGAAGGGCTACACTCCTACAGAGCCATGCAGCAATTTAATCCTGATGGACCTCTTCAATGCCTTAATTAGGAATAGTGGTCATAATATCCTCCTCGTCATCCTACCCTCTATAACATTTTTCACAGTGGGAGAACAAAATATTTAAAATGTCAACTCAGATCACCTGCTCTGCTGAGCCTTTTCTTTCAGTGACTTCCCTGAGTAAAGACCCATAAAAATTGTTTGATAACTTATCATTTACATAACTCTCCATTCATTTAGATTGCACCAAGATGGATACCAAAGTATTGTACCTGCAGAAACAAATGGGCACTACATGCACAGAAACCATACAGTCTCTGAAGCACAGATGCCAACTTGCTACATTCCCTTCAGCTGGTGTAATTACCTTGTCTTGATGCCTTTAGGCATTACTGATATTACTCAACAGATTAATCTTCTATCAACAGATTAATCTTCTAGAGGCCATTAGGAGTATTTTTCCTCAAGCTCATTTTTCACCAGTCTTACTTCAAATTTAGAAATTTGAAAAAAATGTGATTTTTTTTCCCCATGTATATTGACCAGAAAAAGCAGTAGATTCTCAGCTATCATGGAAAATGTAAGTATAAAAATAAACATGAGAATCAGTTATGGCAAATTTAAGTATCATTGATAAAGGTTGTAATTGTTCCAGAATCTAAAGGATATGGAGAAGTTACGATTTTTCAGTTGTGAGAGAATAACAGAAAGCAAATTAATTTGGTATAGAATTATTCAAATCATTTATCTAATTTATCTTGCAAGTTACCAAGCTCTTTGCTGTGGTGATTACCATAGGTTTTGTTGTTGTTGTTGGTTATATTGCTTGCTTAAGCAAGTGGGCAGATAGCATCCTTACAAGGCTATTTCAGTGGTTTTCAGTACACTTCTATCGCTCTACATTTTCTTGAAAAGGTTTTTTTTTAAACATAGTGTTGGAGTCCTTAAGGAATTAGCAAGTTTAGACTAGACTCAGATCCAAGGCTTCACTCAATTTCACAAGATATAAACTAGTCTGTAAGACTTTCTCCACTTACTTTAGAATAGTACCTCTCAGAAGCATCCTGGTCCTTCTGTGTGCCTCGGCCAAGCTGGAAGCATCTAGCTAAGTAGAAAGCAGCCATAGCAGCCCCCTTGGCTACATATGTTGGGTGACAATCACTTATCTTGGCTAGCATGTTGATCTCATCATTTTTTGTAGCCCTGTTGTGGAATTTAGAGCATTACATTAGATAATGCTAGATCAAGCAATAATTAAAGTTGACCATATATGACTTTGACAATGCCTCTTTTCTATTTACAATATTACCCAGAATAAGCTGAAATTTACATGTATTCAGTATCTTATGTGGATTCTTCTATTTTGTATTTGATTTTAAGCTAGTCTTATTTGAATATTGTGATATTAAACAGCAAACAAGTATACAGCTTTTGAAGTCACTTTCACCATACTTTATACTAATTATAAAAGGCAACATATTTTACGCTAATTGTTCCCATTAAATTATTTTATGGAAATTATATGTGGAAGAAAGACAAAGCCCGTATTTAATCTTATTTCATTACATGAGCAACCTCATGTAGTGGAAAATGTCCCTGCCCACAGGACTGGAACTAGATGATCTTTAAAGAGCCAACCCAGACCATTCTGTGATTCTATGATTTGAAAATTTCCAGTTTTTACAAGGATATTGGCAAATCATAGTAATCTGAAAATCCTAGACTTACTGAGAGCCCCTGGTTATAAAACTCTGTCAGAAAAACTACTTATCACTGTCTCAGCTCAATTATTTAGTTTCTTCTGTATGCTTGCTGTCATCTTAGTCTCAGCATGTTTTTACTAAGAACCATTTTAAGAATCAGAGGGACAAAGTGAATGTTGTTTTAACTATCAAGCTATAATTATCTAGTATTGTCACTAATATTAGAAAATGCTATACCTAAATGGGAATTGATTTTTTTCTGTTGTTTTAAAACAGATACCCCAAGCCCCATATCCTTTCCAGATACCAAAGAGTAATTATATGCTTCTTTACACATCATTTTAGGTGTGTCAGAGTCACAGACTTGACAGAAGAAGGAAAAGTGCAAGTAATTTCAGTTTATAGATACTTCCTATAAACCAGTGTTTATGGAAGATTGTTCTCGATGACCCTCTGCACATCAGTGCCTGCTAGATCACTTGGATGTGTTGAGAATGATCACCTAATTTAGTCCCATTAGGAATACAGTAACACAACTGTTATTATTTAGCAAGAACATTCAAATAAAACAACAGTAATATATTACCTCTTGTTTTTCCTGATATGTAACATTTTTCCCTTCCTTTCCAAAAGATAATCTACAGAATACTGATGCAAATAATGATATCCAGTCAAGTCAGGCAAAAATTCTACTTCAGCACAGCTGACTTGAAGAAAATACTGCAGCAATTGGTAAGTACAACTGTGTGGGATAACTAAATTATTTAAAGTGAAGTATCAGTAGGTAATGCTGACTAAGTATTAGGCAAGGTTATACTGTACACAGTCACATTATGTATATAATGTAACAAACGTAGTTGCTATGAACATCGGACAAATTTTAGCAGAAAAGGTATTGGTACTTGATACTACTGGCTGAACTGTTGGGGTTTTTGCCTCAAGGCTAACTTCAACTCTAATTAAGTGGAACTGTTTCAAGTATGGTTGCAGTGTTTTATTTCAGAAATGGTCACCTCTGACAGTACTGTGGGATTTCATTGCTATTTTCTGCAATCACAATTGCAGCTGATGAAGTGCACTCTATTTGTCTGGACAATCTACCATGCAGCATTTGACTGGAGGGGATTAATTCCAACCGAGACAGGCTAGACCAGACCAAACAGTTATCATGTACTGACAGTGCAGAAGAAAGAAAGGCAGCAGTCCAGAGAGAAACAATCCTTTCCAGCATGGAGTAGAGCAAACAGCATCCATAGCTGAACTACTGAATTACCAGAACTTCTGTTATGCAGTGGCATACAGTACACAAAGTGCAGCTTCTGTAAGATGGTAAGTTGTGACATATTTACTACTGCAGCAGCAGCTATGTACGCATACCCCAAAAAGCAAACATGTTTTTGTGTGCCACTTGTGCAAGCAGTCAATCTATCTGCATCTTATTTCCGGCAAATCAATAATCTGACTGACAGACTGAACTTTTAACAATACAGTGGTAAACTCTGGAGGTTTGTCACAGCAGTGTTGAATGTAGTGGCACATCTTCACAGAAATGTATGTGAAATTTCATACATTTCTGTGAACACGTTCCACAGTGAACTGAAACAATACACAGAAATGTGCTGTTCGTCAGCCATAGAACATTGCACCAATAGTGCTCTTGTCTTGCTTGATTAATTCAAGATACAGAAGTGGACCTGAAGTGGTTGCACTTATGCCATGTTCCAACCAACTGGGAAATAAACCAGGCCAATCAGAGCAGCAACAAATGTTCCTTAGCTGCTTCCCAGGATGAGGCCCAGAAGACACCACCTCAAGTGTATGTGGACAGTGCACACAGCCTGGGGACCAAACAGGAGGAACTGGAGCTCTGCACCCACTCAAACTCACACAACCCTAGGAGTAACTGAAGCATGGTGGAACAGCTTACGTGGCAGGAGGACTCTGATGGACAGATAGGCTGTTTTGTAAAGACAGAAAAAGAGGAGGAGTCATGCTTTGAGTTAAGAAGAACCTTGAATGTGGAGAAGTCAACTATGGCAATTCTGGAAGCCTTATTGAATGCCTCTAGGCCAGGATCAGAGGGGTCTTGAGAGGTCTTAAGCATCTGTTACTGACCTCTGAATCAAGACAGTAAAGACCAACAAGACAGTGCTTGGGTTCCTTAAGTAAGCTTTGGGTAACAGAATCTGGATATTATGGGTGACTTGAACTACCCAGGCATTAGATGCAAGAAGAATATAGCATCTCCCAGGACACCCATAAAGTTCCTGAAACAGAGCAGTGGAGTAGTGCTGCTTCAAGCAAATGTCAGAATCAAAAAAACCAAAACCAAATCTGGAATGAGGCACTACTTGACTTGCTACTCGCAAATCAAGAAAATCTACTTTGTAGGATCTCAGTGAGTGATAGTCTTGGGTGCAATGACCACGATATTGAGCATCTGGGATCCTGCTGAGCACTCTGAGGGTTATTACCAACACAAAGGTTTTAGATTTCAGAACAGTAAACTTCAGCTCACAGCACAGCTGGGAGGGTCTCCATAGGAAGCTTCCATGGAGAATAAAGGAGTTAGTGAGTGCTGGGAACTTTTCAAGCATGCTCTCCTGGAAGCACAATGAAGTGTTTGTTCATCCCCTTTAAAGGTAAGGGAAGTAAGTGGAGCATAGATGCCCATGGCTTAACTCCAAGCTTCTGAGCCTGCTCAAAACCAAGGGAGAAACATACCAGTGACGGAAAAGCAGGTAAAGGGAAGTGCTGGATTCACTGGCTTTGTACACTTTTAAGGTTCAGCTGGACCATTGGACCACTGGAATGCTGGGCCATTGTGTCTAGACTGTGCTTTTGCCAAGCAAGGTTGGACCAGATGATCACGGATATCCCTTCCAGCCTGGGGGGTTCTTTGACACTGAGTGTAGGGGTTAAAGGGAATGGTGAAGGAAGGAGCCTAGAGGAGACACTGAACAAGGAAGGCAGGATTGCATGTGGGCATCTGCTTTGGATTCTATTTTATGGCTGTTTTGCTTTATAGGATCAGAAGGAAAAGTTCTATCATACTGAGTAATTGAGAACCTTATAGTATTTATTTTGTCATTGGCTATTCTGTTGTTAAAGATGTTTTGCAATTCATTATCTCAAACATTTCTTGAGCTTGAAAGATAAGACCATCATCTTTATTAATCATTTAAATCTCTTTTATCTGGTTTTGCATGAAGAACCCTAAAGAAAAGTAAAACAAAACTTACCTTTTGGCTAGTGCAGCAGCTTTTGAGTAAAATTTTCTAGTGTAGTAATATTCCACTAGATGGCCTTGAGCATAGATGTTTCCAAGTTCTGCTGCTTTTCTCAAACACTCCAAAGCAGCTTTAGTGTTTTGATGTGTACCTTGTCCATAGAGATACATAATGCCAAGTGCTCCTTGTGATTCCAGATTTCCATTGCCACATGCTTCTGAATGCCAGAAAAAAGCCTGAACAAGAGGCACAAAGATGGGAGTATAAATTACTTAGCTGATTTTCTTGTATATTGTTTCTATAAAAGCTTTTACACTAACCATCCTGTAAAAAGTGCTTAAACATAAAATAAAGAAGAATCCTTGTAAGGCTTTTAAACTGGCTTCATTTACTATCAGAGCTGCCAATCAGTGTTACCTGCTTGAAATATGAAGATTACCAAAGCTGACAAAACTTTAATCTATCATTCTTTCTGATACTCTCACTACAAAAAAAAAAAATCTTAGCTAGCAGTGTCAAGTGAGTCAAAACTAGGAATTCTGGCCATCTGTTCACACAGGCTTAAATGGATGATAATGTCTACTCAAAATACAACTTTCAGAGTCAAATATACCACTGTACTATTTCTCTGAAATTAAAAATTAATCATGACTAATTTTTATTTCAAAAGGTACAAGTGGGCTTTACCTTCTCCAGATCTTTTAGACTTGGCATAGAATAAAGCATTCCTAAAGTACTCTGGGCCTTTATGCTTGCTTTTGGATTTCCATCATCTGCAGCAGTAAGCCACAACCTAAGAAAATGGGGACAATAACATTTAAGAAACACACAATCTTAAAATTTTTCAGGAAAAGCACAGACTGCCCTTACCTTTCAGCCTCTTCAGTTGAATGTTTAACACCACATCCTTCATAATATGCCCTGCCAAGATTGTATGCAGCTGCAAACTTCAAGTGTCTTGCTTCTGGGGAATCAGAGTTGAGTATTTTATTCATGTATTCCACTCCCTTTTCCTAAAATTGAGCCATTTAAGTTATTATGTTCAGACTGTGAAGAGGATGAAATATATAACCTGAGATGCACTAACTTCTCGGCAAGACAGGTAATTTTTTCCCCTTTGAAGAAATGCTGAGGCATACTGTCAGGACAGCTTGAAAAACACTGTCATACCAAAGCAGAAGTGATCTTTGGTTACTAGACAGCCCCTAAATTTTTGACCCCAGCAGATTTTTAGCATGAAACATTTCCTTGTAAATGTTCATCTGAGTAATATATTACTCTTCTTCACTGACAAGATTTTTCCCAAAAATATTGTGCTTGCATAAATGATTGTCACATCCTACACTTGGAAAATTTTCAATTTCAGAATTCTGAGAACTTTTTAATATTGCATAATGTATTTGAAATAATAAAACAACCTTAACAAGAAGGCAAAGTGATACATAGTACACTTCCAAGTACCTGCATTTAAAATACCTTAGACTCATAAAGGACAAAACTGATAATGTTAAATAAGCAGATGGAGAACATTGCATATGAGCTGCTGGGCCTCAGAAGTACTTTGGAAATAAGATTTACAGTGTTAGGACTTAGCATGGACACCCTGTTTAAATACACTAGAAATGGTCCTTTATAAAAGGTTTTGATTTTATTCAGCTTTCATACTGTAATGCACAAGAAAGAAAGAAAGAAACTTTGGTAAAATGTTTCTTTGCAAATGAATGAATGTGGTAATTATGCAGGCATACAGAAAAAAATAAACCACCTCTAAACTTCAATCAGAATGTTTTCAGTTCTGCTGACAATGCTGTAAGCACCAGATAGGAGTCACATTTGTTAATATACTCTTTAGTTAATTTTTTTGGCCTTCTGTCTTATAATCTACCCTTTTATTCCTAATGCTTGTATTCTCTTCTCATGCCACTTTTTAAGATCATCTTCACCAACAAATTAACTCTCCTTATTGTAGCAAATCATTCCTTTGTCTTCCTTTTTTGTAATATAATTCTTCAGTTTGAATTCTTCAAATTCTCGCAAATTAAATTTTTCATGTGTCTAATTTCAAAATATTACTGCCAATCTTGGCAGAAGCACAATCATCTCTGGCATCTATGCTAAAAGAATAGAAAGTACCTTGAAAATATCTTTCTGCCAGAGATTTTATGCTTTGAAATACAATTGTTTGATTTCCATTTGGACTCACTTTATTTTCATCTACATAAATTGCATATTAAAAAGTAAAAAATTTAAAGTAATTTTTTTAACATAGCTTCCACATGAAGTCCAACCAAGCCCTTGAAAGTTAATTTTAAAATAGAAACTACTGTATTATTTTATTCCTATTATTATTATAGCCATTTTTGAGAACTTCCTCACCCAGAGCCCTTGCTCTTTAATGATGCTCTGTAAACATCTGCACTTTATGCAACTAAATGAAAAGGCTGTTAATTTTAAACTAAATAATCATGCTTACAAAGAAGCTCCTAGTAATGATGAGCTAATATTAGAAGAAAAATAAAAAGTGTGCAGCTAAATTACTCACAGGGTCTTTTTTAGTGCCAAGTCCATCATAATACATTACACCAAGCTGATACATTGCTTGAAAATCTGTATCCTTGATTTTTTCAAATTGTTTTAATGCTTTTTCATACAACCCCTGGGAAAGAGAAAGCAAACAATAACTCTATGATATATACAGCCTTACAATTTTTCAACCTGAAGTATTTCTCTCATGAACAAAGAACAAAAAATTGCAACCACAGAACTGGCAGAAAACAGAGACAGTAGGTTAACAACCACAAGAAAGTCATACAACCAAAAGCCATTCTGACAAACTCTCCCCTCCCACAAACTGCCATTTTTTTAGTCTGAGGAGATAAAGTCTAACTCAGAGTCCCTGACCCATCTATCTGACATCCTTTAACACAGGCCAGCTGTTCTTACACCTCAAGGGTTTAACAGTCTGCTTTTACATCTCTGGTAAGGGTTGGTTTCACTAAGACTACTAAATCAGATGTCTGCCATACATTTCTTATAGAGGTATCACCTGCAATAACAGAGATACTTCCACTCCTAAGAATGAATCTCAGAGAGTACTTGCTTACACATTAAGTCTAAGAAGCAACCATATTTAAAACTACAGCTAAACAACTGTAATACAACAGTTAACTGAGCCTGGTGTCCTAACTGAAATATTTTTACACGTAAACACTAAGTAAAAACAATAGTGAAATTAAAATGTTCTTCTCTATATTTTTAATTCAATTTTTCTGTGTGTTTTGATTAAAAAAAAAGTCAGACTGTAAAAGCTTAGAACCAAGCAACAGCTCAGCAGTCAAAAGTCCTCACAATGACCAACCGTCCCCTATAAACGCTGTCCAAGTTATTATCTTAAACTACTAATTGTCTTGGGAGCTTGCCCATTTTGATTGTGGGGACTTTGTAGTTTTAAAGAACTGAAGAAAAAAAGACCATTTTCTTTTTACAGCTAGCTGTCATGAATATCAGAAAAAGAAGTACACATTTAATCTCACCCTTCCTGGGAATTTAGTGCCATATGAAGAAGACATAGGGCTGTGATTAGGAAGTGGGTTTTTTTCTAATATCCAGCAGTACAGTGCTATGAGCATGTGCATTTTTAGGCACTACAGACATACATTAAAAAATCTGAAAATTAAAACCTGTTCAAAGAATAAATTTGTACATTTATTTGTATTTATTTGTTGTACAACGGAATGTACAACAATATCTATCGTGGACATCTAAGCCAGCTTGTCAAGTGAAACAGACAGGAGTCTGTTCATTCAGTTCCATGGAGTTAGTCTCAGGTAATTCATTAATGAAAACATTAAGGATAGGGCCCAGAAAGAAAAAAGCCTGAGTGAGCTTATCCTGTTCCTGCTGCAAACCGTGAGACTGATTTACACTGCACCACTGCTGCACTGTAAACAGTACTGAATCCCTGCATGTCACATTGGAAAATTCCTGACTCGGTGTTTGTACTACATTCTTCTCTATCTTCCTGAACTAAGTTCTAATTTTCACAGGAAGTTGAGGTTTAAGTTCACCTGCCAGGCAGTCTTACTCTGTTCCCTGATCATTTACTTTTGAAGACTTGGATGACCAATTTTAGCCAAAGTGGGCAGGGATGGAGATCATGAAGACAATAAATTCCAACAAATTCCGGTTCCTGTGTGGGGAACAAAGACTGAAAGCTGTGTCTTGGTTGGGGCTCACACTTACTTTAACTGAAAAAAAAAGTGTGTTGTATTTGGGCAGTCAACTGCCCAAAAACCTGACCTGGCTTGGAAGTTAGCTGTGAGGATAGGCTGCTGCTTGCTTTTCTGGTCCTTAGGAGACCTGTGAGAGAACTGGAAGACCTCTCTAGATGCTTGGGGAAACTGTAGGAAAAGCATATTTAGGGGGAACACCTGGTGATTTTAATGGGATACAAACAGGCATAGGGCACCTCTTGTAGGTTTTTTTAAGGTGTCTCGTTTCGGTGAAAAGGTGTTGAAAATTGTCTGCTTTATAATATTTACTAAAAAGAGGGAAAGCACAACCTGTTCGTAGTAATGCTGTCCATCCAGAAAAGGTGCTGGAGGATCTCCACCTGCCTCTCTCACCAGCAACTCCTCTTCTGCCACCAATGTACCACAGGAGCGGTTCTCTGCTTAAAAACAGACACACGTTTGAGGCTGTCCCCTAAGAGGTGGAATACAATAATGGTCTGAAGCTGGCCGGGTCCCCTTTTAATATGTTCTTCAAAAGACTAAGATAAAAGAGAAGGCTGTGTTACAAAACGGAAAAGTTGAGTGAAGACCGCCCGAAGGAAACGTTCAGTGAGGGCGGCATGACCCTTGTGTGCGCGCAGTCCGCCGCGGAAGAGATGGAAGCCGCACCTGGCCCAAGCGCGGAGCTGCCGGCCGGAGCGGGCTGGCTGGGAGCGCTACCTGGCACGGCAGGCTCCTGCGGCAGCCGCTCGCAGCACAGCGCCATCCAGCACCGCCGGTCCAGCTCCCCCGGCAGCCCCGCGCCCGAAGGCGGCTCGGGCCAAGCCTGCTGGGCCGTGCGGGCCCGGGCCCGGCCCGCCCGGGAACGGCCACAAGGGAGCGCGGCCGCGGCCTTCGCTGGTGCCGAGCTCCTGGCACCGCCGGCCCCGGATCTACCCCTGCTGCTGTGCCGGGGCCCGCCGCAGCCCTGCCCGGCCTGTGCCGGCACCCGGCGCCGCTCCGTAGCTGGGCCTCGGCTCCCACGGCTTTTGGCAAGGCAGGAGGAAGACTGGGAACGTGAGGACGCCATTTTCCGTTTGGGATTTGCGGTAGTTGCTCCACCTCCGGCCGTTGTCCGGTGCCAAACTGTCAGTGAGGGGCAGCACAGGCTGAGGGCCGGACACGCACCCCATCTTCCCTGCTACCGCCGGGCCTGGAGGAAATGAAAAGCAGAAGCCCAGAATGCTCTGCACAACACGACTATAGGCGAAAGGGAAAGAAACGCTGAATGCAATTCAGAGAAAAAGGCACCAGGCCATGACACTTCAGTTTAGCAGGCGGGACTTCACTTCCAGTGATCAGAAACTGTTTGTTGTAATGCAGTTTGCTTTGCCCATATAGATATTAAAAAAATGATAATTGAGGGAAAATGCTGTTCGAGGTTTCTCCTGGAATGTAAGGCATTGCTTCTGCTTCCGTCGATTGCTTCTAGCTGTGTCTATTACAAAAGGGAATAATATCAAAATGCCTGAGAGTGCTTTCAAAATAGTCTTTAACCGTGTACCCAGCTTCTTCTTTTTTTCCAGATGGTTATCATCCTTCCATTTTTGGCAGTGTGATCTGTTTCTATAGCAACAGGGACAGAGGCAACAATCAAAACGAGAGAGTGATGTCTGCAGATTTGTGTGGTTAAAACTGTGGGCTCAGTGTGATGTTTTCCAGCAGCCCCAAGTGACTTTAAGTACAAAGAAACTCCTAAAATTAATCCTGATTCATTTTGTGTAGATGATACAACCAAAGAAATCTACAGGAAAATAAACGTCTTTTTTATTATTTTGTTGTTGTTGTTTTGGTGTTTTGGTGTTTTTTGGTGGGTTTTTTCTGGGCTTTGTTTTTTTTTTAAGCATCAATTAATTACTTCATTTAACAGGCAGAGTGAAAAACAGTCTGTGAAAGCAGCAGTACTTTTCAGCAAAGACAATTAACAATGGGCTGCATGGCTGCTTTTGATGCAGAAGGGTGTGAGATTCACCAGCACACCTTCATTTATCTGACTGCTTACACATTTATTAGAACAATTTTTCCAATTTAATTTTGTTGATACCTATGCAAGATGTGTGACCTGAGATAGAAAGCACAGAGGAATTTTTGCTAAGTTATATTCCAGAACAGCTGTAGCCAGAGAGCCTCGTCCTTAACCGGCACTTGGGGCTGCCCCATACAAAACAGATGAGAGTTGTTGCTTCTGTATTTATACCATATATTTATACATTTATACCATACATGTATGTACTGGATATTGAAAAGCAGAAGAGTTTTGCAGGCACTAAAGAGGTACACCAAATGTGACCTGAAGCTCAAGAACTAATTAATTGCAGGAATTTGAAGAGAGTTTTGGCTGGCCGGATGCAGATGTGTGTGTGTAGGGGGTGCTAGGCTGGAAAGATGAGATTCCTTGGGTGCAGCTTGAAACCTCTGAATCACTGAGGTAATGTAGGGAGGGAAGATCTTTAAAACAAAAACAAAAAAATCAAAACACAACCTCTTGGGCAATCCGAAACTGTTTAGTCTTAAGCTAATTCTGGATATGTGTGTTTTCAAGTCTTTTAAAGTTGCATAAACAATGACTGTGGATTTCTGGTATCTGTGCAGAGGTATTTCATCCCTAACAAAGCATAGTTAGAAATGTAGGAATTTTGTTTGTTTTACTAATTTGCTTGGCTAGCTGTTTAGGGAAAAAACCCAATACAACAATCTGTAATTACACAAGTGTACTTTCCATATAAAAGAGAAGTGAAAACTATCACTTACTGAAATAATTCTGCTGAATTGATCACAGGCTATCTACCTTTAAAATTTTTACTGTAAATGCTCATATTCTACTAAAATAATTTATATTACCTTTCCCGAAGGAGAAGTGGAAGGTAATTTCATGTTTGTGAATTCATTTCAGAACTATGTATGCCCTAAAGGAACATTGTTAGGCTTCTTTTTCCCTATCTCTGTTTATTAAAACCATGCCATTATCATTTGTTTTTTTAAATATGTGACTTTCCATTATTTTTTTTAAGTGATGGTAGTGATTATGAGGAACTTCCATAACAAACATGTAGACATTTGACAGAAGGAAATACCATAATGCTAAGGGAACAGAATTGTGCACCTTGGACACTCAGGCTTCTCTGGGATACTTCAAGCTCATTAAGTGACAATCAAAGTTCTGTTTTTGCAAACGTGTTTTGAGCAGAGATATAACAGGTGGCTGTGCCCAGAGATCCACCATTGCCAATTCTAGTTCAGACTGGTGATGAACTTGCTGTAATTATCTGTGCTGAAGGGGAGAGCTGGGTTTCACACCGTGGCACGGCCGGCCAACCTCCCTGGCTTAGAGACAGAGCATGGGCAGAATGACGGTACGGATTTATTTTTACTAACTTAAGTTTTTTTGGGGGGGAAATACCTAAATTAGTTCTCTATTGTTTCCGTTCCTAGATCCAAGTCTGCCTTGATCTAGCCTTCCCAAACCAGCGTTAAGGTCCGCTGGCAGAACCGCCGTGCAGCAGCACAACCGAGAGAACACCAGGCCGCGCTCAGGGCTCGGTGGCTCCCGGCTGCCGGCGGCAGCGGTGCTTCCGGCGACGCCCGCTCCCGGCCGGTGCAGCAGCCGGTGCCGGGCTGCCCGGGGCTCCGGAGGGCGCTGCCGCGGCTTGCGAGTGTGTGCGGGACGTGCCGGGCGGCCCCGCGCCCCATGGCCGCCCCCGCCGCCAGCCCCGGCCCGGCGCGGCCGCGGCCCCGCGGTGCCCCCGGGGCGGCCAATGGGCGGCCAATGGGCGGGGCGGGGCTGCGGGCCCGGCGCTCGCAGCCGGACGGGGCGGCGGGCACGGACGGACCCGCGCCTCCGGCCCCGACAGCCCCGCGCCAGCAAAGGGAAGCGATGCTGATGCTGGACTGCAATTCAGAGGTGAGCTTTGCCAGGGGCTGTCTGTGGTTTTGTCTTACCTGGAGCCCAGCTGTGAAAGTGAATGAGATGTAGTTTGGCTGGAGCTGCTGCTGTTAATGTTGGGGCACTACCGCTGTCGATCGGTATTTCTGGTTAAGAGATTAAAAGCCAAAAAGTCTTTCTTGCACTGCTCTTTAAAAAAAAATATTTTAAAAGGTAGTCTCAAGGGATGTGAAGGTCCAGTGATTTGGAAGGGGAATGTTTTTTGCTGTGATGCACTGTTCTGACACCTGCCTTGGCTTACACTGGCAGTAACATTTCTTTTTTTCTTTTGGTGTCTTGTTTCAGTCTGGAAGTTTCAGCAGCCTATTTGAGACAGGAACCGGTGTGAATGCACCTGCAGATGCCTCTGGTCAGTCTCCAGCTCACTTAGCTGCTTGTGGTGGTGAAGCTTTTTTTCTACTTTGGCAGCTGCAAACAGGAGCAAATTTGAACCAACAGGTAAAAAGCACAAACATTTTATTCCTTCCACTTCCAATCTGGCATGTCAGTAAATCCACGTAATATTATTTACATGCTTTTTATCTAAGAGAGGGTTTTTTTAATACTCATTTGTATTGCATGAGGTATCTGGATTTGCTTATTCTAGAGTAACTTCTAGAATGAACCAGAAATACTGTCTATGTTGCATTGGTAACTTGCAATGTATAATTTCATTTTCACACTTACAGAGCTGCATGCAGATGTCTAAACAACTTAATTCTTTTACACAACTGGGTATTTATTTTTCCTCCAAAGATTTGTCCCTACTTCCAGTAAATGTAAGGATTCTTACTCGATCGAGTTGCTTGTCTATTTCCTTATACCTCTGAGCCGGTAGCAAACTCAGATTGCTGTGATTGCTGGTCACAGCAATCCCTGAATGGTGCTAAGAGATGCTGATAATCTGCGTAGAGAGTATTCTGTTTAAGTTATCTTTTAGATAGACAAAGGTTAAAAATGAGTTCTGCAGGAGACAGCACTTTTACTTTGTGGTGATGAATACATGAGACATTTAATGGTAGTTACCAAGTATGCTTTACTAGCTATATTCCTTTAACCTATCTTTCAGCTCACAACAGACTGGTATACATAAACAGTCATTTTAGAGAACAAGACAGCTTTATCCTACTCCTCTTCTTGCAAATGACTGTTATATATAAACTGTGTTTTTAGGATTGCCTTGGAGAAGCCCCGATACATAAAGCAGCAAAAGTTGGAAGTTTGGAATGTCTTGCTCTCCTTGTTGCTGGTGATGCTAAAATTGAGTAAGTTGAGCGACATTTAGTAAATTCAGTAAGAGTGTGAAAGGATGTGCATTTTACAGAGTGCATTTAACTTGCTCAGAACACGCATGCTAAGGCTGCAAATATAGCATGCCTATAGCCATAGGAGTATTAAAAACTGACATAAACACCAAATGAGCACAGACCGGTGCTGACAAGTTGTTTAGCTATATACATACCTCTGCGGTAACTGCTGAGAGAATACTCCTGATCATAATCTTACCCTCGTCTTGCCTTTCTGATATGCTAAGACAGTAATAGCCTGATGACAAATTTATTTTAAAATAATTATTCCTTTTTGTATTTAATACCAGCCCCCTTGGCAAATCTTCTTGGTATTGATTCTCAAGACTTATTTTTATACACCTGTGTAAATTACCACTTAGTCAGTGCTTGCTCATTATTCCAGTTTAATTGGTTACTGTTAATTCTGTATTTCAGCTTGTGCAACAACAGTGGACAAACAGCAGCAGACCTTGCAGTGGATTATGGCTTTCTGGAATGTGCCAAGTTCCTCAGGACAATTCAGCACACTCAGACAATGAAACTGAGAGGACAGTCTGGATACTTGCTAAGTGACAGACATGGCTTGTGGAGAGAGGATCCAACTGCACAGAAACAAGAAAGCGAAACCAGCAGATACATAAACAGGAAGAGGAGAAGATCAGATGGTATGTAATAGTGTTGGTTTAATACAATTCAGAATATTTTAAAAATGTTATTAGCATCTAAGTAAAACAAATGTGTGTCAGACACAGAGCAGTTAGATTTAGAAGCCTCCTCGTAAGGATGAACTTGCATAGGTACTTAAGGTTAGGGTCTTCTTGGAAATGGACATGTGGAATGCCACTTAAGAGGCTACTTTAATACAGAAAAAATAAAAATCATAGGTACTCTTCATGATGTACTGATGACATAGCTACAGACTTACTTTGTTTGTTTCTATGACAGATCTTGTCTCCTAGCTGCCAGAAAAAACAGTAATACCAACATGAAATATGGGGAATCCAAAGTCTGAAGAACCATGACTGGATGAAATACTGAGCAGTCAGATGTGTGTGCTGGGACATTGTCTCCTTCTGAGAAGGAGGAAAGCTTGTTTATTGTTACTTCTTACAGAAGAATGTTGTGAGGTTTTTTCCCCCCCTGGAATACTTGTATTCGTTCAGCTATAAATAAATGATGATGGAAAAATGAATTCTCTTGGTTTTTTTTCTGTGTAAATATGAGAGCAAAATTAATAAAATGCAGTAAATATAGCCATTTTTTTTCCCACTCCTAAAGTGCATCATCAAGAATACCAGCAACAAACAAGGCCTTTGAACAGATTCATAATGGACACGGCAGCTGGCTAAGTGGAACACTAAAGGCAGAGGACAGTGTATCTTTTTGTCATGAAAATATTCCATAAAACAAAAGGATTTGGCATTTAATCTATAAAGATTCTAATAGAAGAGAAAATACTATATAACCCTAAAATTGTGCTACAAAAAATTACAGAGTGTTTGTTGCCTAGTACAATGCATTTGTAAGGATACAGTTCAAAGCAGGTAACTCTTATTTCTAGAGGTTTCATTAAAAAATACAGTTTCTCAATTTAAGTCATTCAACCAACATTTCTATTTCAACTGGGTTTTGATTGACTTAAAGCATTATTTTGATAAATAACAGGACAGTTTTATCTAGATTAGCTGGTATTCTGTCTCAGCGCGTTCAGTGTAAGACTGAATTTAAATAGCTTTTGGTCGTTGAGGTAGGCACAGATTATAATAGGCGTCCTTGTTCCAGAACTCCGGGCCCTTCCATCCACACCAGCCCTGCCCAAAGAAAAGCAAGACAGCTTTTAAATCTACTTCAAATTCTGTTTTTTCCTGTCTACTATAATTGAGTCTATTCTAATTTTACTAATCATACTAATCGAAGATGTATGAATTATTTTCAAATGTCTACAGAATGCAATGGCAATTTTCAGAAAGCTCTCTACATACCTGGAAACACATTAATGAAAACATACTACAAATACTCTCTCCCCTCTCTCCCCCTTCCTCCCTCCCCAGCTTAGTTTTTAGAAAGTATCATCTTCCCATCCCACCTCCCTTCTGCTGCTCCTGAGAGGCTCTGAAAGTCCGTCATTCTCACAGTTTTCCTTTCTTATCCTGAATCCTTGCCTTCTTTGGTAACAGTTGATATTTCAGCCCCAAACAGAGCTCCTAATACCAGAAATTGTGCTATTCAACCTGATTCAGCAGAAGCAAATAGTCTAACAAAAGCTTTCAATTTTGCAGCGTACCACATTATTGGAGGTGTTCTTAAAGAGCCTCACTTTTGATGAGGAAAGTGGGTTCTGCATTTATTTTATCCTTCTGGACCACTGAACCATTCTTTACAGCTAGTAGCTGTAACAGCCTTTGGTCATATATATTCTTTGGAAATCGTTTCTTCCTGATCATTTCAAGCTTTGATCATTATAGGCCAGCAAAATATTTCTTAAACAGCTCTTTTTTTGTTTGTTGTTGTTGGTTTTTTTGGTATCTTTTTTTGTTTGTTTGTTTTTCTGTTTATTTGGGTTTTTTGTTGGGCCTACACAAGGGTATCAAAGATTAGAAATAAAAGTTGGTATTTTCAACTTAATATGAAAAACAGAAAAGACACTGATTAGCTAACACTTAAAGGATTATTTAGCTGCTTTTAGAGTTTACATTTCTGATGCTATATTTACTGGTTTGTAATGGGATGCGTCATCCCTTTTAGTGGCTTTAAAAGTGGAAATTACATTACACACTCTTAAGCGGTTTGGAGTTTTTCCACATTTGCAAAACAATTCAGTACCTACCCTCTGAACATTGTTCAAGGCCTGATCTGAGAATGGTTAGTGTTGGATTTTACACTATCATCAGAAATCACTTTTACAATTTAAAATAAATTATCTTCTCTGCTTCATTTAGAGCATCATACAGCCTGAACAGAATTTTCTGTTTTATTCAAAATACAAAATACATTTATCATATATACTCCTGGATAAAGGGGAGATGGGTGAATTTATACAAAATAAAGAACACTGCTTTATAGTACTTGCTGATCTTTTACATCTCCAAAGACAGTATGTTTCAGAAACTGACAATACTTAGTGTATTGTAGCATGCAGGTTAACTGGGGTCAGTGCTTCTTCCATAAAGAATGGAGAAGCCATTCAACAAAATGGCAAATTTGCATTTGGCTGGACATTATTTTTTAAACTCCAAAATACATGAATATACATAAATGTGTGAGTATATATGTGCATCAAGCCTCACCTTTTCCAAAATAACATGCAGATCTTCTCCTCCAGTGTAATGTGGGTCTAGAATCAAGTATTTTATGTGCCCTGTAGTCTCATTCCAAGCCACTCCTAATATTGTGTGAGCCAAAACACCTCCACCTAAAATAGGAGAAACACATATAGCTGATTTTTTTTTCATTGGGATTGACTTAATGTGCAAGGGTTAAATAAAAGTACATCAACACCTTTAATTAACAGATTAGCTTTTATCAAGATGATTCTGAAAGTGTCTGACATGAGATTCTTCACATTATTAAACAATATATCTTTACTACATCTAAGAAAGGTTAGTTGTAGTAACTAAAATAAGTAGAAATGCATTTTCCAAATTTGTTCCAAGTCAGCAAGGCAGACTGAATCCTCAACACTTCCACCAGACGAAGTCAAGAATATTTCAAACATCTCTTCTGCACTTTAAAGAAACCTAACTGTAGGAAAGAAATCTGCAAAATTTCCTGGTTGTAAAAGGACTAAAATAGAAGAGAAATCAGAACTCCTGGAAGAAGTTTATCTGCTGTTTTCTACTAAGTTATGTCAATGAATATTAGGGGCAGAATAGTAAATTCTAATTTCCCTTTCCCCAGCCTGCAAACAGGAAAAAGGGATATTTTGATGAGATGGGCACAGGTTAACTCTTGAATGTTTCTTTCAGATAACATGCAATACTTTACGTCACCACAGTACTGTAGTAATAACTCCACAAAGCATGTAGGGATTGCAAAATCGCTGGAAGAATACAAGCAAAAACAATCCCCAAACCCCACCCTCAAAAAGCCCAACTCCAATGATAACAAAAATTAAACAACCTACAAGGGAGCTTTATAGGGAACGGAAGTTACAGACTAAAAGATTTTTCAATATTGGATTGTACATTCTTGAAATTCAGACAAAGAGGCTGCTGAAAGGCCAAGAATATTTAATAGAATCATAGAATGGTTTGGATTGGAAGGGACTTTAAGTATCACCTAGTTCCAACCCCCCTGCAATGGGCGGGTCACCTCCCACTTGACCAGGTGCTTAAAGCTCCATCCAACCTGGCCTTAAACATTGGGCCCCTGGCCTTGGGCCATCCACAGCTTCTCTGGGCAGCCTGTTCTTCTGTCTCACCACCTTCACAGGGAAACATTTCTTCCTAATATCTAATCTAAACCATCACCATATCAAAGTCTGGACTTCTGGCACCTCTGTTTTGAGAAAGTTACACTGTGTTATGGAATGACGAATACAGACTGCAAAATTGCTTAAATTAATGTTATTAAAGTTGAAAATAGTAATATCAATATTACTCATTTCCTAAAACACAGCATGGAAAAAATAGTTTAATTAACATCACAGTATTTTTACAAATGGCACTTCTTATCATACCAGTATTTCAGATTATTAAAACTATTCTTAAAGCAAATTTGGATAATACCCTTCTCTTCCAAGCCAGATAAACAATGCTCTTCTCTGAGAGGAAGTTTTGGGGAACTCTATGAACTTCTGCTTCTTAGAGAATGGAAGTCAGGTCAAGTTCTGACTTAATAGCAATATTTAAAAACACCCTTTAGACTGGCTTTTGTTACCATGTTTAATTAATACTGAGCTTGAAAGAAATAATGAATAAAAAGCTACCAACTAGACTAAACTGTATCATTTTTGAGGCTGCCTTGGGAAAACTGTAATTTTTAATTCGTCTACAGTTTTGATTAACTCTTGTACAGTAAATTAAATGGGTTCTAATTGAAACGAAATTCAGCACAGGGAGGCCATGCCCTTTCATTACCATTTGTCAACACTCAAGCACTTACCAATCATAACTGGAGTTCCCTCGGTCTTGAAATGATTAGCAAGCTCTCTTCCCTGCAACGCTAGTTCAGAACCCTGGCTAGGTAAGAAAAACAATAGCAGATTTGTCATTTTGTCTAGGTTTACTTCTCCAATTATCCATTAAACTCGTTCACTGCATAGATAACCAATTAGAAGGTCTCTTGGATTATTCCTGTGTAAACTTCCTGAGAAAATCTGAAAAACACTTTCTAACACAAGGTCTATTTGCTAGGCAAGGAAATTAATACAGACATTTTTAATGTCTTGTATTTATATTTCTTTATATAGTGACTAATATTTTTAAAGCCCCAGTGAGAGTCTGTGTGCCTGCTTCCCAAGTACAGAGAATTGATTAAATGCAGACAGAATACAAAACTGGGAAATGGTGCATTTAGTATAATGGATCCAGTACTGGTATTGCTGGTGCAGCTGTGAACTCTTATTTTCATAAAGAATTAGAAATGCTAGCTGGAAATAAGCCCAAGACAAAAATGCTATCCACTGCCAGTGACCAGCTGAAAAAGCTGCATGATTGTTTCCTCTTCCCGGCATGGTAGTGACGTTGGTTTTTCATAACACTGAGATAAACTGGTGCTCCCTTGTAGCAGCACTACAAGCAATTCTATCCAGTTCAGAAAAGAATGTATTCTATATTCTCATATGCAGGAATAACAATCTTCTTACTGGCAGGGCTCGTCATAGATGCTATAAATAATAGGTGGATCATCTCCAAGTACAAGCTCTGGTACAAAAAAAAAGGATTAAAATACTAAAGACCTGAACTATTTTCCTAACATCCCCATGGAAGGATCCCCATCACCATGCTCTTGTGGAATAGCTATAGTTTGAATTTACTCTAAATAAACATAACACATGAGAAGTATTTTGATTTGTATTTTCATACAGACTCTTAG